ACGGTCACGAACTTCATCAACACCGATCGCCGGGCTGGCGCTGCAGCCTTTGCGATGGTCCGGCGCCTTCATGGTAAGGGCCGTGGCCCTCACACACACTTCGTCGTTCTTTGGGTACCGTCAATCCCACTCCCTTCGCACCTGGGAGAGAAACAGAATCCCCTCCTCTGGACGATGACGCGCCGCTATCTTGCCGACGGAGTGCGTAGTGGGACCGACCTTGCCTGCCGGCCTCTCGACCATGCCACCGCCGCCTACGTGCAGGACATGTTCGCCCATCAGCCTGCAGGCTACTACGCCCTTGTTGTTCTCAATCATGCAGTGGCGACAGCCCTTGTCACCTGGCTGCCCACGCCTGTACTTCCCTGATCATTCTCCTCTCCGGGCGTGGACAAAAATAAAATTTCGTCTAGACCTGTTTTTTGGCGGTTCTGTCATGTCTGGCAGTCGTCTGCGATGGTGCGCCTAGGCGCACGTGGACCTGGGGGCCAATCTTTGTGGCCTTGTTTGCTGACGTGGCGGCGTTGCATAGGCCAGCGCATAGTCGATCGCACGGGGGGCATTCGTCCTCCCCAACCACATGATGTCTGCCTCCGACGCCTCGCCATCCAGCTCGGGTCCCTCCTCGCTGACCACCCACCCGGGCCGACAGGACGAGACCGAGTTCGAGCTGGTGACGGGGGTGGGCCGCCCCGGCCTGCTGAAGTGGGCCGACAGCTGGACTGAGACCGTCAGCGTGCTGCCCTCGGACACGCTGGAGCGCCTGTTCGCGGTCACCAACGCGCGGCCCCAGTGCTTGGCCGAGGTGCGGGTGGCGCCGTCGGTCGAGACCCGGCGGCTCAAGCTGCACACCAGGCTACCTCACCCGCGGCCCGACGCTACGTTGGCCGAGAACGGCCTCAAACAGGGCCATGTCCTTCGATGGACGCCTGGCGCAAGGAAAGATTGATGGATTGATGCAGCTCGCCACCACCTTGAGCTGACGGGAGGAAGGTTATGATGATGGCGTGGCAAGTCAGCATTGGCCGGCTGGGTCCCTTCAGTAAAGCAGCAGGCCGAAGAGAAGCGAAGGACCTTGCAGCACCACACTACTACGTGCACGTGATGGCGACCTCCTGCCCGACGAAGCTCTCCACCCACCCGAACCTGCAGGATGAGAGCTCATTTGAGCTGATGTTGGGGGTGGGTCAACCGGGCATGCTGCGATGGGCGGACAGGTGGACGGCCACCATCGACGTGCTGCCGACGGACACGCTGGGCCATCTCGCAAATGTCCTGAATGACAATGAAATCTCGTCCCCGTTCTTTGGCGATGTGCGCGTGGCGCCGTCGGTCGACACCACGCTCATGTGGTCGCACTCCAAGCTGCCGCACCCGCGGCCCGACGCCACGTTGGCCGAGAACGGCCTCAAGAAAGGCAACATCGTACGATGGGTCGTGTTGAAAAAAGATTGATTTGATGGTACAATAAAACGAAATAAGGCAGGAAATGATTTCTTTTTTGTTTATCATCCGATTAGAATTGGAGCTAAGATGAAGCGGACGGTGGCTGCTTGTAGGGTGAACGGAGTGGCGTACAACCTGCCTCAATCCCGCTCTCTTGTGCGGCTCGCCTCGCAGCCGACGCGCTCCTCTTCCCTCTTGATCGCGCAGCAGCCCCGGCTGCTCGCTTCATCTGCATTTCCGGCATCGGTCCGATTCACATCGCGGCGAGGATACTCTGCGCAGGCAGCTCCGCAGGACTTCTCCGAGGAGGAGAAAGAGATCGCCAAGCTGAGGCAGCAGGGCGCTAAATCGCCAGCAGCCCAGTCGTCCGTAAATCAGAGGCGAATTGAAGAATTGTTTAATTCCGCCAATGGATACGTAAGCGAGGAGAAATGGACGCAGGCAGAGGACAAGCTCAGCACCATCCTCGATCTCCAGTCGTCTGCGAAGGCTGACGATACCCTGCTCGGCCGTGTGCTGATTAATCTCGCATTCGTGGAGCAAAACATCGGCAAGCGTGAGAAGGCGGAGAAGCACTACGAGGAGGGCATCGCGGCCCTCAAGAAGACGCTCGGCGAGGATCACCACGAGGTCGCTCGCGGCCTTCTCAACTACGCCGAAGTGCTGGCCTTTTTGAGCAAGGTGGAGCAGGCTGAGGCCGTTAGCAGGCAGGCCATTCCCATCTTCGAGAAGAACTATGGCCCCAAGAGCGAGCTCGTCGGTACGCCTTGCCTTCTCCATCATGAAGTCATTCATTCTAGGAAATGTTGCGTTTTGTCAATGCAATCTAACACCAGGCTCTTCGTTGCAACACTTGTCCACAACGTGCGCAGGCGCTTTGCTGAGCAATCTTGGAGGCTACCTGTGCGCGCAGAAGAAGCTCGAAGAGGCCGAGCCCGTGCTCAAGCGAGCTCTGGAGGTGCTCGATAGTGCCCTCGGCTGTGACAACGAGTACACCTCGGCCTGCCTGGGCAACTACGCCCGCCTGCTGAAGGACTTGGACCGCAACGACCAGCTCAACGAGCTCAAGGCCAAGTACTCCTCCAACGCCGCCACATTCACGGCCACCGAGGCACTGGAGAAGGTACTTCCATCTTCAGTTGCTTCTTGCTCCCTGTAGAGTATGATGATCTCACGAGCATCATGATGCCAACCAACGCAGGACGTAAACGATCCCGAGATGAAGGCCATGGTGGATCAGTTCAAGGGACTCGCTGACTCGCGGGCTTTCAACCCAGAGGGCCTCTTCAAGCCCGACGCCTTCCACAAGGACGAACTCAAGAAGTTCATCACCCAGTGGGAGAGCAAGCACAAGGTACCGCGTCAGCTCAAGTAGCAGCCGGCAGAGATACTGACGATCATCATGTCACACGCGCACTTTAGGAGAAGCTCGATCCTGCACTGATCCCCGCCGTGTTGGAGGAGCTGGAGGCCATGCCACGAGAGGAAATCGACAAGATGTGCGCCGACGCTCTCAAGGAGCTGGCCGAGTCCAAGCGAGGAGGACCTGCGGTTCGTGTTCTCTCGACGGCCCTTCTTCTTTGGTGGTCGACCGACACGCTCGCTCACATTGTTGTTGTTCTTACAGGTCGATCCGTCGAGGCTCAACGCCATCGCGGATGAGATCGACGACGAGGCCCTGGCTGAAGAGGAGGGAGATGAAGGCGATGATAGCAGCAGCAGTGACAGCGACGATGAGGAGGGGGAGGATGAGGACGACGAGATTATGGAGAGGCTGGACCAGGGCGACGAGGACGAGGGTGACCTGTGGAGGGCGACCGAGGCCCACGAGCGGGAGGCGGCCAAGAACATCGAAATCGACATGAGCCACATCGAGCTCACCGACGACAAGAAGCAGCAATGAACACCAAGGAGGCCCAACGAAGGTTGACTCACAGTGCTTTGCTTTCAAACGTGTTTGCACACACCGCGGCCTTAGGGATCAGCTCTGGCTCACGCAGATGGTGGCCATGCAACACCAAGAGAGTGGAGGAAAAGTCGACCAACAGTGCTTCTGTGGCCTCTCTCTTGATCGTCAATGTTGTGCTTGTGTCTGAGACGAACCCTTCGTCTTGTCGTAGGTCGGTTGGTGGTGCGCTGGCCAAGACACAGAAGAAAAGACAGGGAGAAGTCGCAGCACAGGCTGTAGAGTTTAAGAAGGCGGTGTAGACGAATTAGGATTTTTTTTCTTTATTTTTGGCAGATCAACTACGGCGGCCGTTCGATTGTTTGTTTGCTGTTCTGACTCCTCGCCTCTACTCCCATCTTTCATCCATCCATCTACTCTCTCCATCTTTCTCCTTTCAGCCTGTTTTGTTGTTGAGGCAAGCATTCTCCTCCATCTTTCAATTCTTCCTACACAGTCGCCAAGGAGACAAATCGATCGCCAGATAGCAAATGATGGAGGTCATGGACAACACGGCTCTGTCGTCGCAGACAGAACAGGCCCCGATGTCGAAAGATTCCGCTACACGCCTGACCACAGATTCACCTGCTGCGGTTCTGCTTCAGCCTGGACATCATCACGTAGTGCAGCTGCAGCGTTCAGGCTCCTATGGCAGCGGTTCTCCCAAGTCGAGCGAGGCGAGCGAAGAGTCCAGTGAAGATGACGATGACGCTTCCAGCACTGAGGAAAGCGAGGACGATGATCATGGGAGCGACGAGGAGATCATCGAAGCCGAGGAGTACGAGGAAGGCGGTTGGAGCGATGAAGAGGACGAAGAAACACGCAAGGTCAGAGAGCTCAAGAAGAAACTGCACGGCTCAGGTACCAGCCACAACCACACGCCACTTTTCATCCATTCCTCGTTCATTATTGCTCCTCACGGACCCGCATTGTCCTTTTTCCTCATCTGTGAGCGGAGCATTTCCTCATTGTTAAATTGGCACCACCTGACAACACCCTCCCTCAGATTCAGAAGAGATTTTGCTGGCAGATGTTTTGTTCAAGGCGCCCAAGCTGAGCCTGCGAGACGGAGGAGCGAACGCCACAGCAGCGCCCTCCCCGGCCAAGAAGTCGGCCCTCCCGCGCCATCTCCAGACCCTGCACTTCAGGCGAGAGAAGTCCAACTCCACCAGCTCCCTCTATGTAAATAGCACCATCAGCGCGCCCAACCTCGACCAAGTGCTTTGGTGGTACGTACATCGCGCAGACAGCACTCGCTCTTATCTACCGACGCGGCTCAGCTCATCAGCCTCACGTTTCTGCTTCTCACCTCGATCTACGCAGTATGGCGACGGCGATCTGGTACCACTCCACCGCAGGCCAAGACGCCACCCCCGTTTTGTTCGAAATCTTTGACGAGC